AGGCTCTGGACTCTGAGCTGTCAGCACAAAGCCTGACACGGGGCTTGAACTCACAGACCACAAGATCATGACCTGAGCTAGTCAGATGCTTAACCAACTGCGCCACCCAGGTACCCCTAAACGTTTAAAATTAATAAGTAAGTAAGTAAGTAAGTGAATAAATAAATAAATAAATTTTAAAAAATGAGCCTGCAAAGAAACATTCCAAAATAAATGAACTCTAATGCTAGGAAAGCTAGCAATATCTTTATTCAGATCATGAATTCATTCCTAGCTGAAGAGCAGAAACAAAGCAAACAGACAGTTCACACAAAGAGAGAAGATGTTTGCAAAACCAACCAAGAATTAGTATCCAGAATATGTAAATAACTCTTACAGATCATTAAGAAAAAGACAAAGAGCGAAATTGGGAAATGAGTAAACAACACAAAAAGGCTATTCACAGAAAGAAGCAAATGGCCAATAAACATATAAAAACATTCCACCTCAATCAGGAAAATGAAAATTAAATCCATGGTTAAAACACAATTGTGTATCCATTTTATTGGTAAAAGTTAGCAAGTGTGACAAAACCAAGTGTGGCGAGGATGTGGAGAAATAAAAATTCTCATACATTCCTGGTGGGAATAATAGGAATCGCTGCATTAAAGAGCACTTTTAACTCAGCAGTTACAGAAATGTTTGCACATTTACCAGGAGACATGTACAAGAAAATTGTCCAGACGGTATTGTCCGCAGTAGTGAAAAACGAGAACTATGCTAAATATTCCTCTAGAGAATAAAGAAATACAGTTATTTTCATATGACAAAGTACTTTCTCCAGTGAAAATATATGAACCAGAGCAACTTGGATAAATCTCAACAAAGCGCTACTTTGAGAAAAAAAGGTGGCATGTGATCATAAAGCACTATTTATATAAAGACTTAAAGTATGTTATGTAAAACAATACTCTGTAGCTTATGGGTGTGTACATGTGTAAGAAACAAAAGCATTCATTGGAATGGTAAACTCCAAATTCAGGATAGTAGTTTCTAAAGAGGGAGAATTGGAGAGGGGCACAAAGGGATCATTAACCATATTGATTCTGTTTTATTTCTTAAAAATAAAAAATCTAGGGGTGCCTGGGTGGCTCTGTCGGTTAAGCAGACTTCGGCTTAAGGTCATGATCTCATGGTTCAAGGGTCAAGCCCCACATCGGGCTCTGTGCTGACAGCCAGCTCAGAGCCCGGATACTGTTTCAGACTCTGTATCTCCCTCTCTCTCTGATCCTCCCCTGCTCACACTGTCTCTCTCTCTCTCAGAAATAAATAAAACATTAAAAAAAATTTTTTTAATAAAAAATCTAGGGGCACCTCGGTAGCTCAGTCGGAGAGCATCCAACTTCTGCTCGAGCCATGATCTCACGGTTTGTGAGCCCAAGCCCCACTTTGGATCCTCTCCCTTCTCTCCCTGCTCCTCCCCCATTCTCTCTCTCTCTCTCTCAAAAATAAACCTTAAAAATAATAATAAAAAAATCCAGAGGAAAATATCAAGTTATTTCACTCAATTCCCATATTATTGTTATTAAAGTTAACTGGCCATATGCTTTTTTTAAAAAAGGAGTCCATTTTAGAGAACTGGACAGACAAAAAATATAAGGTTAAAAGTAGCATTTTGGATTGATAGATTTCCTAGATTCCTTTCAAGTGGTGTTCTCCAAGTCAGAGAGCTTTTTTTATCCTCTTTTACCTTTTTAGATATTGTAGTCCTTTTCCTATATTTAGGGGAAATCCGAATGTCAATCATTTACATCACAGAGAAAAGAAGCTCTTGTTAATATGGGAAGATTAAGATGAGGATTATGGCTACCTGGCAAAAGTAAAACATCTTATTCAGTGTTTCAGAGACATTAGTAAATGTTTTTTCACTTCTGGGATGTAACAGACCAGAGCATATCCTTTTAGCGACTAAATCAGGACTTTAACTTCAGCTCTTTCAACTTGTGCTCACTACCATCAGTTTTCTTTTTCTTTTTTAATATTTATTTATTTTGAGAGAGGGAGAGAACATGCATAGAAGCATAGGGAAGGGGGCAGAGAGAGGGGATAGAGAGAATTCCAAGCAGGCCCCCGCACTGTCAGCACAGAGTCCAACGTGGGGCTTGATCTCATGAATCATGAGACCTGAGCTGAAATCAAGTTGGACACTTAACTGACTGAACCACCCAGGTGCCCCCCTACCATCAGTTTTCTTAAGAATATATACTTTTTTATCTATTCTCTCCTGCACTCCCACTGTATACTATTCAGTCAGAAATTATAAAAACAGACCCCAAAACGGTGTTCACATGAGGATCAAATTCGGTGTGCCCCTGAGAGATGGTGCTAAAAGATTAACTTCCAAATCCTCCTTATTCTTGCATTTAAGAATAAACCTGAAAACTTAAGAAGTCTGAGTTTTAAGCAATACTGAGGAAACACTTAGACATTTTGTTTACTTGTTTTGTATTAAGAGGGCTTTATAGGAAGCAAGGTTGGCTATGATAGGGGTTCCCAGTCATACAACCTTCAGAAGGTTATCAAAGTAGCTTCCTGTCTCAAACTGGTATCTTCCTCTTTTCCACTGACACTAGATATATTCTCCTGATTTTAGCTCTTAGAGTTCTCTGCCGCCTCTGCTCCTTCTCAGAATTGAACTTGCATACCCTGGGCATCTAATAAATGCTTGTTCATGAGACCAAGAAGTTGATGGTGGTCCAAATGTATTATAGTGTTTCTAGTCCCAGCATTTATAGATAATATCTGTTGTGTCTTTGCCTTTGGGAACAGAAGCTGATATCTCCCCAGGGTTCCCGCTGAATTCCTACTGGGTGCGCCCTTATCGGTCCTATGTCATCATTCTCTGTAGGTAGAGTATAGGCATCTTTCTCAATGTAAAAAAATAAAAAATAAAAAACCACTATTTATGACATTCCAATTATTTCCGCTTTTACTTGTCCCTAACCTTGGCTCCCTCCAGAATTGCTAGCTGAAGTGTGTGTGCTAGGCATGGTCAGATCTTTCTATCTAGATGCCCTCAATCATGGGCCATTCTTGTGTCTACTTGATTGGCTACATTTTGTTGCCTCCTCCACATTGGAAAACTGTTCATAATAGAACTAGCAAACATTTACTGAACATTTACTTTGTGCACTAAGCGCTCTACAGATATGATCTGTATCATTTCATATGCACAATCATCTCAGGTGCTCATATTATCCTTATTTTGCTGATGAAGAAATAGAGGCACAGGAAGATACTTTATTTCACGTGTAAAACCTTTCCATGATACTTCTGTGAGGAGCAAAGATGTCATTGCTTTATAACAAGACTCAATGAATGTTTTTTGAGTAGGTGAATAAGTAAATATTATCACTTAGTGCGCCGTGTTTTCTATAGGTAGAATCCCCAGAATGATGTAAGGTGTAAATATACAAAGCACTGTGTCTGTAAGTCAGTAGTCACCCCCACCGACCTATTCTTGTATCTTTCTTTTTCTTTCCCTTTTCCTCTAAATTTCAGAATCAAAATGATTGTCTGATTGAATATCTTTAAAAGGTCATGATGAATTATTCTGTAATATTTGAAATGTTATGCTCAGAAAGGTCAAGCTTTATTTTTTGGTGAGAAGTACCACATAGATTTGTTTCTCCTGGGCACCATTTCTTTTTTCAAAGAAAAGATGGCAAGAGATTTAGAGCAGAGTGCCCTCTTGAGGAAGTTTTAGCACCTTACTTCTCAAAAGCTGGCACTGGATGGCATGAGAAAGCCAGATGAACAATGCTCCAATAAACGAAACACTAAAAAGGAAGAGTAACCAAATACCAGAGTCTGAGAATTAAGATTCTTAACTATTATGACCTAATATAGCAACATTAAGAATTTGTAGACAGAGAAACCTCTGGAAGGTATTTTTAAATTAATTAATTTATTTTTTAATTTACATCCAAGTTAATTAGCATATAGTGCAATAATGATTTCAGCAATAGATTCCAGTGATTCATCCCCTATGTGTAACACCCTGTGCTCATCCCAGCAAGTGTCTTCCTTAATGCCCCTTACCCATCTAGCCCATCCCCCCACCCACAACCCCTGAAAGGTACTTTATTTCCTATTATTTACTCAGTCCTTCAAGTAAGCATCCATGTTGTGCCAGAAGCTATGCCCAGCACCATGCTCAGTAAAACACAGTCTGTGCTATGAAGCTTAAAGCTCGTGAAGGAGATCACAGGGAAGGGAAATAAACAAATATATGTAACTACAAACTGAGCAAAGTACTATGAAGGAGATGGGAAGGTACTAGAATAAAGCACAACAAAAATAAGTTCCAATAGAAGTGGCCAAGGAAAGCCTCCCTGGGAGGAAATAATTGAGCTGAGTCACTCTGCTTTTTGGTCCATTCCAAGTCTGCTCATCTAATATAGACAGCCCGGTGGACACTTTTTTAGCCTCTGGTTCTTATCTGGGGCCCAGCCCTTGAGCTGAGTTGAGTCCTGTCTCTGCCCCTGTGGGTGTGAGCAGGGAGCCATCATCCTTCTGCACCTCATTGTCTCTCTAGTTGGTCCCTGTGCCTTAGAGCCTCACACTCACCATAATGGGGGGAGGGGCTGCTTAACTAATAAATGTCTTCTTACTAATACTCATAGCCTCTCATGGTAGAATATCAACACATTATGACGCTACACTTGATCTTAGCCAAAAGGCCGAGAAGCGATCACACATTATGACACTAAAAAAAAAAAAAAAAAAAAAAAAAAAAAAAAAAAAAAAAAAAAAAAAAAAAAAAAAAAAAAAAAAACATTTCCGATAATGTTAAGGATGTAGAGGATCTCAGAAGATGAAAAGGACAGATAATGCTGACTGCCACTCTGCTTTGAATAGGGAGAGATAAGCAGGCATGAAGCAAGCAGAGAACTTGACCATGTTGTAGAGTTTGATTATACTGAATTTCTTCTTACTGTTTCTTTTTTTGATTTACTTAGGGAAATTATCGTTTCATGAAACTCTTACTTACACGCAGAGCAAACTGGATGCAAAAGGATCTGGAAGAGATGACCCCTTTGCACTTGACTACTCGGCACAAGAGCCCAAAGTGTTTGGCGCTTCTGCTGAAGTTTATGGCACCTGGAGAAGTAGATACACAGGATAAAAACAAGGTAAGGGACGGGTGCCTGGATGGCTCAGTCAGTGAAGGGCCCAACTCTTGGTTTCAGCTCGGGCCACGATCTCATGGTTCCATGAGTTCAAGCCCCACATAGGGCTCTGCACTGATGGTGCTGAGCTTTCTCAGGACTTTCTTTCTCCCTCCATCTCTGTTTCTCTCTCTCTCTCTCTCAAATAAATAAATAAACTAAAAAAAAAAACCAAAAAACAAAAAACCAAGGTAAGGGACTGTCAAGATCAGGAGGCAAATAAGAGCAAAAAGCAAATCCACATCCTTTTATGATGTGAATCCTCAAGGAAGAGTTCCTGCTCATACACATGGAGGAACATTTCCGTGTCTCCATCCTCCCCAGTGAAAGATTTCACTTAAAAGGGCAAATTTTCTTAACTCCTCTACACTTCCATTTTCTCATATGTGAAAAGGGGATGATAGGGTTGTTGAAGATAAAATGAGATCCTACATATGAATAGGGTTTAACACAATGCCTAGTGCATGATAATAAAATAACACTCAATAAATGTTAGCTATACAGTAAATATTATTCGTTTCACTTTGGCTCTGCCATCTGCTCTGGCACTTGTTGCCAGGATCGGTTATATTCCCAGCTCTTGAATTTTAACATACTGTACACGCCAGCCACTGTTTTGACCAGTGCTTTGATCGTTCTTTACAGGGGAAAAAAATGTGGTGTTCAGTTTGACAAGCGCAAAAATCTTCTTCCTTTCCGCCAGGCGCCAAATCACGGAGACTTACTACCTCCAGCACACCCATGTGATTAAACCTCCTGGGATTAAACCTGCTGGGCTCATGTCCAGTGTCCCTTTCACTGTCCTTCACAGGCTCTTCCTGTACTTTTCGGGATTTGTTCACCCGTGACTCACACAATCCCGCTTTCTGAAATCAACTCTGACCTTATTTTACAACTACAGTAAACCAGTATTTCTTAACTCATACCACGTTTGAAGTGCTAATATTTCACTGGGAAAGCCCTTTGATCAGTCCACAGAGCCCCATGAATCACTTACAAAGGCACAGGTGTCTTTAGGCACCATGATGTCTTACACAGTATCTTCTAGGAACTCTCCGCTATCTTCGAGTCCTCATCTGTTCTTCTGTTACGGAACAGGGACGGGAGGTTATCCAGTCAGACAGATGGAAAACGGATCTGCAAGGTCCAGGCAGGCACAGAGAGGAGAGCAAGACAAAAGCTCAGCAGTGATCCTCAAACTATTAGACAGGAAGGATCTGTTTGTGTGTGTGTGTGTGTGTGTGTGTGTGTGTGTGTGCGCGCATGTGGTTTTTTTTTTTAATTTACAATCTGTCACAGATCTGAAATTTTATATCATATATTAAAACTGAACAACAAAAAACCCCAATGAGATAACACTTCACACGCTTTAGGATGACTGTTAGTACCAAAACAGAACATAACAAGTATTGGTGAAGACGTGGAGAAATTTGAACCCTCTGCAGCGCTGGTAGGAATGCAAAATGGTGCAGCCGCTTTGGAAAACAGTATGGCAATTTCTCAAAAAATTAAACATGGAACTACCCTATGATCCAACAGTTGCACCTCTGGGTATAACCCAGAAGAACTGAAATCAGGAATGTGAGCAGATATTTATACACCCATGTTCATAGCAGCATTATTCACAATAGGGGAAAGATGACCACAATCCCAATGTCCATTGATGGATGGTTAGAGAAACAAAATGCAGTCCATGCAATGGCATATTATTCAGCCTTAAAAAGGAACAAAATTCTGACACACGCTACAACATGGATGAACTTTGAAGACATTGCCAAGCGAAAGGGTGGGAATAGGTGGAAATTGGGAGTTATTGTTAAGTGAGTATGGAGTTTAGTTTAGGAAGATGAAAGAGTTCTGGGGGTGGAAGGTGCCAAAGTTGCACAGCAGTGGGAATGTGCTTAATGCCACTGCACTGTACATTTAAAACTAGTTAAAATGATAAATTGTGTTATGTACATTTTATCACAGTAAAAAAAAAAACTAGAAAAAATTTGTTTAAAGATGTAGAAAGTACAATCCCAAACTTTGTACTATTCGGTTCAACAGACCTAACGTTACCTTTCAGGAGTTATATTCAGAACAAACATAACATAGCAAAAGAATTACAGAAACCGTATATGTTTTTTATTGAAAATGTGTCTGTAGGGGCACCTGGCTGGCTCAGTGAGTAAAGCATGAGACTCTTGATCTTGGGGTTGGGAGTTCAAGCCCCACATTGGGCATAGTGCATACTTGAAAAAAAAGAAGAGGGGTGCCTGGGTAGCTCAGTCCGTTAAGCATCCGACTTCAGCTCAGGTCATGATCTCGTGGTTTGTGGGTTCGAGCCACGCATCCGTCTCTGTGCTGACAGTTCAGAGCCTTGAACCTGCTTCGGATTCTGTGTCTCCCTCTCTCTCTGCCCCTCTCCCACTCACACTCTGTCTCTCTCTCAGAAATAAACAAACATTAAAATTTTTTTAAGATAAGAAGAAAAAGAAGAAGGAGAGAGGAAAAAGGAAGAAAATGTGGCTCTAAGAAATTATTTGCTATTATATTTGTGACTGGTTTTGTTCTATAGTCATTACTAAATAAAAAGTAATGAGTGACTCTTCATATTAAATGCCCATAGGTGCACTGTACATGAATACCACATATGTCAACATTTAAAGTTTTTAGTGTAACAAGTGAGCTTCATTCCTACTGGCAAATGATCTGATTCTAGATTGGATTAATGACACTGCTATTCATAAGGGGTAACGTACAGCCCAACCATTTCTTTGTGTTTCCTCAGTAACTCTTCAAACACAGGGACCATTCTTACTGTGGCGTATTGACAAGAATGGCCTAGGGGATTTTGAAGCAACACCAACAAGTTCAGAATGTTCATTAAAGATTTTTCTTAATGTTTATTTATTTTTGAGAGAGAGAGAGAGAGAAAATGAGTGGGGATGGGGCAGAGAGGAGGGAGACACAGAATTTGAAGCAGGCTCCAGGCTCGGAGCTTTTAGCACAGAGCCCAACGCCGGGCTCGAACTCACTAACTGTGAGATCATGACCTGAACCAAAGTTGGATGCTCAACCGACTGAGCCACCCAAGTGCCCCTATTTCTTTTTCTAAGGAAGCTCCCTACCTTAGAAAAGGCTCAAGGTCATGACCTCAAGATCAAGAGTTGCATGCTCTTCCTACTGAGCCAGCCAGGCACCCCAGCAGGATGTTCATTTTTAACGTTTATTTTCTAAAATAAAGCAAATATTGCTGTATCTTAACATCAATAGTAGGTCTAACAATTCATCCTATAAAATTATAGTTAAATTTAGATTTGTACTGTGATATAAGAAATGGATTCCAGATCCATGACTTCCTATACATGGATCTTCATTTTGATAGACACTGAAATGCAAAACATTCTAGCAAATTCTTAAAATGCTTGCTGCGATATCAAGATCGTTACTTACTTTGTTGATAATTATTCATAAACCATCGGGCTGCTTTTCTTTTTCTCGTATTACCACTGATTCATACCTGATGACCTAAGTGCCTGTCACGATTAGGAGGTCAGATTCTGAGTTCAGACGGCCTGAGTCAGAATCTCAGTTCAGCCACTGACTACGTTTATGCCCCTGAGCAGATCGCTCACCCAGCTTGTGCTCCCTTTTCCCACCAATTACGTGCAGATTCCAGAGTACTCATCGCCCAGAGTTGTCAGGATGATGACTGTATGAGGTAAAATAGAGAAAGTTCTTACAACAGTGCCCGTCACACAATACAAGCTTGGGGGAAATCTGTTGTGTTGTTACCGTTGCTCTTGCTACTGTTGTTGCTGTGTTTGTGAGTCTCTCGCGATTTTGCAGCAAACCGCCCTGCATTGGAGTGCTTATTACAATAACCCGGAGCACGTGAAGCTGCTCATCAAGCACGATTCCAACATCGGGATCCCCGACGTCGAAGGCAAGATCCCACTTCACTGGGCAGCGAACCACAAAGATCCCAGTGCTGTTCACACAGTGCGATGCATCCTGGTGAGTACGGTGGTGCTGCTAGACCTGGGCGGCCTCCCGACAAACAACTTTTTTGTGATGAAATAGCCAGGATCTGAAAGCATATATGTGACACACAAATTATGAACCAAAAGAAATACCAGAGTCATGTGAATCCGTCACTCAAGAAACAGAACACGGTAGTGCTGCTATGCTGCTGTTTAAGACCACGCAGAATTTTCGATGTGCCGGTTTCCAAACACATTCTCTCCACCTGAGCCATACTCACCCTGTCCCCCATCAACTACTTTCCTGAATTTGTGTTTATCCTTCCTTGACTTTGTTTGACACTTGCGTCTATTAAGCACTGCGTAGAGATAATATTGTAAAATATATGTTAAGACATAGAGAATACACGGGCACCTGCATAGCTCAGTCCGTGGAGTGTCCACCATTTGATCTCAGGGTCATGAGTTCAAGCCCTGTGTTGGGCGTGGAGGCTCCTTGAAAAAAAAAAAAACAAAGTTGTAAAGAATATAGAAACTACAAATATTCATGTACTCATCTCCAAGTTTAAGATCAAGTACATTAACCGTTACCTTTGAAGTTCCCCGGGTACCTCCCAGCACCATTCTGTTCTTCCCCTTTCTCAGAGGCAGCCACTATCCTCAATTATGTGTTTATCATTCCTGATTCTCATTATAGTTTTGCCACATATATTCATATCCCTAAACACTAATTGTTTCATTTTTGATGTTTTTGAATTGTGTAAACATGGAATCACATTGAACATATTCTTTTGCAACATGCTTCTCTTGCTCAATATTATGCTGGTGATTTTATCTTTGTTGCTGTGTATACCTGTAATATATATTTTTTTGCCATTATGTAGGATTCCATTTTACGAACAAGCCATATATTATTCAGTTATTCACAGACGTTTAGAACTATTTCTAATTTTTTGCCATTTAAAAATAATGCTGCTTTATGGGGCACCTGGGTATCTCAGTCAGTTGAGCATCCGACTCTTGGTTTTGGCTCAGGTCTTAATCTCACAGTTTCATGAGTTCAAGCCCCATGTCAGGGTCTGTGCTGGCAGTGCAGAGCCTGCTTGAGATTATCTCTCTCTTGTTTTTTCTGCTCCTCTCTGACTCATGCTGTCCCTGTTTCTCTCAAAATAAATAAATAAACTTTAAAAAATAAAAATAGTGCTGCTTCTTTAAAAGTAATTTCTGTAGCCAGTGTGGGGCTTGAACTCACAACCCCAAGATCAAGCATTGTATGGTCTGTTGAGTGAGCCAGCCAGGTGCCCCTGAACTTTTTTCTTTTCTTTTCTTTCCTTTTCTTTAACATATCTAAGATGTATATTTAACTGGTAATTGCAGGCACATGGAAAGGCAGTTGATATTTTTATTCATTGACTATGAATCTAACCAACTTGCCGTACTTTCTTATTAATTTTGAATATTTATCAGTGGATTCTTTGAGGTTTCTAATCAGTGCTTCTCAAAATCCAGCTTACAAGCTATGGTAGTCTAATATTTAGTCCTATTTGCTTATAACACACAAATTAGACTTTAAAAGATAATATTCTTTTGTATATGCAATTGTTATTCCTACTTGAATGTTAACTGATTCCTTTGCTCTGCATTTCTTCTTGAATCTCAAGTTTGTTTTCCTTCTGGAGTTAATATCTTACTTCCTGAAATATAATTCTGAGAACCACCTTTAGGGTAGATCTATTGTGGTAAATGCTCTCTGCTCTTAAGAATGTCTGCATTTCAGGGCACCTGGGGTGGCTCAGTCAGTTAAGTGTCTGACTCTTGATTTTGCCTCATGGTTCATGAGATCAAGCCCCATGTCAGGCTCTGTGTTGAGAGAGGAAGGCTGCCTAAGATTCTCTTTCTCCCTCTCCCCTGCTTGTACTCATGCTTCTTCCTGCCTCTCCCCTGCTTGTACTCATGCTCTCTCTCTCTCTCTAAGTATATAAATAAACATTTTTTAAAAGGAATATTTACACATCTACCATACTCTTGAATATACAGTTTTTCTGCATATACAGGTATTCTAGGTAGTCTTTTTCTCTACTCTTTCAGGCTTTTTTGCTGCTTTCTGCCTTTCATTGTCCTCTGGAGCATTCTCTATTGGTCTAAATGTCATTCCTTTAGAGATGATTTATCTTTTCTCAAAGGCTGCTTTTATATTCTTCTCTGTGTGGCATTCTACAGTTTCACTACAGTGTGTCTGGGGAGGGGTTGTTTGGGGGGGGGGGTTGGTGCATTTTTTGTTTGTTTGTTTTATGGTTTTTAGGGGGCTTTTAGGGGGTTTTGTCGTGTTTGGTGTATTCTATCATTTCATGTCTGTTCTGGAAAATATATAGCTATTATCTCTTTAAATATTACCTCTCTTTCATTTCCTACACTTTTGCTTTTATGGTCCCAGCTACACGTATTTTAGAGCTTTTTATTGTATTCTCCATGTCTCCTCTGTTTTACATTCCATCTTCTTGTCTCTCTTGCCATGTTCTGGATAATTACCTCAAACGTGCCTTCTAGTTTACCCAGCCTTTCTTCACCTGAGACCACTCTCTCATTTGCCCTATTCATTCATCAATCCTGTATTTTTACATTTAAAAGTTCTTTTTGTTGTTTTTTTGTTTTATAAGTCTGCCCCATCATTTTGATAGTTTTTCTTCCTTGTTCACCTTTTATTTCATTTTTAATGTTTTTATTGTTTAATAGATAGTTATTTTATATTGTTTATGTGTCAGTTCCAATATCAGGAATCCTTGGAGGATACTTGTCACTCATCATATCCTATTTCCTCACAGATTTGGCTTTTTTTTCCTTGTAAACACATCTTAGTCCTTTGGAGACTAAAAGACCTAAAATGCCACCATGGTAAAATTCAACTTCTTTTTTGAAGTGTTTAAAATACCTTTCATACTCTTTTTTATAAAATAGGATGACCACACAAGCAGCTCTAAGTCTTGTGTGCCTTTCAGAGAGTTCTCAGATTGGGGCAGGAAGCCTTGGTTTTGGACGTGGCCTAATCTGAGAAGAGATATGACCTTGAGTGAAGCAACTGTCTTTAGCTGAAGCAGTTGTAAAAGTCTGACAATTGAGGGTCATCTGCTGGGAGCAGTCACAGCAGCTAGGGAAATAAGTTCTTTATTCTTGAAAGGGGACCTCACAGTAGACACGAAGACCTAGCAGAAAAATGAGTAAATGTGAGCTGTCAATTCCAACAGAATAGCCAATAAACATATGATAAACCCCAACCTCATTCATAAAATAAATGCAAATGAAAACAGCAAAATCGTTTCCATACCTGTAAGGAAAAAATGTAGTAAGCTTGATAATACCAAAGGGTTCATCTGTGCCCACATGTGGGGAAATAAAAACTTTTACACATTGTCCCGGAGGTGTTAATTAGTGTAACCATTTGGAGAGCAGTTTGATAATACCTTGTTGATGATGTAAATATCCTTGTACCCAGAAAGTCCCCTTCTAGGTATCTGGGCTAGAGGAAAATCGCACACATGTGCTACAAAGAGACATGTAGGGGAAGCATGTTCATTTCAGCATTATTGTTAATAATGGAAAAAATGTAAATAACCTAATTGTCCCTCACTAGGAGAATGGATAACTAAAGTGTGGCTTAACAAATGAACTAGTATCAACATAAATACCCAAAAGTATAGTGTTGAAAGAAAACATAGCCAAAGGATATACATAGTATAAACTCAGAAGTGTAAATATTGAAAACACATGTATATAATTCATGTATTTTTATGGATGCATACATACGGAACAAAAGTATAAAACATACAGCTTTAGCTGAATCCATAACAGATACAAAAGCACATTAGGCAAGATGTTGACACCTATTTAATCTGAATCGTCAGTAATGGTATTTATTATATCTTTTCTGCACTTTTTTTTTATAGTTAAACATGGCAGGAAATTTTTAAAGATTTAGATCGTATGCTTTTTTTCTGAATTGTATCACTTGTGCTAAGAGAGACTATACAGGTTTAGAGAATTGCCCAGTTAATACTTACCTCCATTGTGATTTACTGAGGATTCCACGTGTGTCTGAAATCTCTGGTTCCTTCAAATTAGGATGCTGCCCCCACGGAGTCCTTACTGAACTGGCAAGACTACGAAGGTCGGACACCTCTTCACTTTGCCGTCGCTGATGGGAATGTGACAGTGGTGGATGTCTTGACCTCATATGAAAGCTGCAATATAACGTCTTACGACAACTTATTTCGAACCCCACTTCACTGGGCAGCTTTACTAGGTGAGCTGACCGTGAATCAAAGGATCAACAGCAGGAGCAGCTACGAGTACCAGGAACTTTCCATGGCTTCCCTTCCCCTGTCAGCTTCCATCTCCTGTTTAATTAATTTAAGGTTTTTTTTTTTTCATTTTTAAGTTCATTTACTTAATTTTGAGCGAGAGCGCGCGTGCACACCTGTGCACGCACACAAGGGAGGGAGGGGGACAGAGACTCTCAAGCAGTCTTTACTCTGTCAGCGCAGAGCCCAACGCTGGGCTCAAACCCCTGAACTGTGAAATCATGACCTGAGCTGAAATCAAGAGTTGGGTGTTTAACCGACTGAGCCACCCATGCGCCCTTAATTAATTTAATTTTTAATTGATATGTTGCATCTTATATTAAATCCCTCTGTCATATGCTTACATTGTAGTAAGATAAATGTATTCTCTGTTATGTATCAGTTTTAATTTCAACATCATATCTTAACATGTTTTTGTTTTAAAAGTAATGTACATTCATTGACAAATGTAAGTATAAAATAATCTTTTCACATTCAATGCCTGTGTATTTGAGGAGGAGGGCTTTAATTTTATGTTTGTGCCAATACTATGATATGTGATTTTTTTTTCTTCATGTTTTCCTGAGATGCCTTTTACTTAACCTTTTTGGGGATCACTTTGTTAGATGAGAGAGTGTAAATATGTCTGTGTCTGACTTTGCAAGGGGTGCAATCTGAGAGTTTTTCTCTTTTAGTGAAGGAGTCTTACTCATTAATAGTCACTGTTATAAGGTATATGATTTGGTCTTTTTCCTGCTATTCTGCTCTTTGACTATTTCTGGTGTTTTCATTTCTTTTTAATTTTTTTTCTGTTTCCTTTTGTTATATAGATTATGTTTGTTGTTATTTGGTTTTGAAATGCCTAGTGTTTTAGGAGGGTTTTAGGTTCTATTAGCAGTTACTTTTAAATTTATCAAAAACTTTTTAAAATGTGAGTCAGAGCTAAAAGCAGATCTCTTCTCATGATTTCCACCTAATTTAAAATGAGGAACTTAGCGTGTTTTTACTTATCACTTTTTAAGTATTTGTTAACATGATCTGAAGTTTTTCCCAATTATTACTGCAGGCTTAGTTTTTAAATTACACGTTGTGTCTTTTCAAAATACTTTTTGCATTTGCATTCAGTTTTGTTATCAGATTTATGATTATTATTTAGACTTCATTTCAATGTGCAGTTCCATCCTTTTCCTTTGTCTTGTGCATTCTTTTTTTTTTTTTTTTTTTTTTTGTCTTGTGCATTCTGAAAGGACTTCGCAAATTTGTCTCCAGATCACTAAAGTGATCCGTAAGTTCTGATTTCTTTCTGCCTCTCATAGATTGTATTTTAGGTTGTATTTTGATTTCCTTCCCTCATTCCAATTTCTTTGTATCTCAGCTTTTTTCCTTTTCCCCTCCTTCCATCACCTTTGCATTTCAGATTATCCCCTTCTTGGGATATTCTGTTTCATTCCATAGAGGACATCTCTTGGCCCAAGTCAAGGATGCCAAACAGTTTCCTGAAGTTTTCCTCTGGATCCTTCTCTAGATCATGTTCTAAGGCGTGTGCTTCATCTCTCTGATGGTGTCCCCTTTTCCCTGTCCTGTAGTATATTTTCATACTGCCTTTACTAAGTATTTCTCTGTATCTTTCAAACAAGACAAAATGTGTCTTGGTAGCTTGCCCATGATCCTACTTTTGCCCGCCTCAGAGAACTCCATGTGCGATTGTACCTGGGGGCAGACAGATGAGCACAACTTCACTCGCATCCCCTTTTTCTGCCTGGCTTTTTCCTGCGGTGTGTCCATGTTCTTCTGCTGATGTGGCCCCTTTACCACCTGGGTCCCCAATATGCTGAAGCAATAGAATGCATGATATTCAGGTTTCCCAAATATGCAGTTACCATGTTTGTTCATTCTTTGATCCTTTCTACAGCTCCTCGCTTATGGAAACCACATCCCCCAGAATGCACTGCAGAGTATTTTCTCTGCCACCACCTCATCATTCCTGCCACATGTTTTCTGGGATTTGAAATCAAAACCTACTGTGAAAAAAGTGGCGGAGGAAGGGGAGAGGGGACGGATAGGAGGCCTCAGAGGTTACAAGAGGCTGTATTATAATTTGTCCTCCTGAAGAGCTGTCCAGTTCTGATCAGCTGTCCAGTGGGACCTGGACACTAGGGACCCTAATGGCTGACAAGGGCTGGCTTCCCTCCTTTTTTTATGGACATTTTTTTTAATGTTTTTTTTTTTTTTTAATTTTATTTCTGACAGAGAGAGACAGCATGAGCAGGGGAGGGTCAGAGAGCGAGGGAGACACAGAATCTGAAACAGGCTCTGGGCTCTGAGCTAGCTGTCAGCAAAGAGCCCGATGCGGGGCTCGAACCCACTAACCATGTGATCATGACCTGAGCCGAAGTTGGACGCTTAACCGACTAATCCACCCAGGTGCCCCTTTATATAGGACAGTTTTATAAAACACAGCCAGGGAATGCAGTGGGCTGATACCTAATATAGCTCTCTCTCAATCTAGCACTTATAATTCATATCATTTCCTTTCTGGATTGAAGCATTAAGATTTCAGTGTTGGAAGTGTTTGCCTTTGTTCTACATGATCATAGTATTTTGGTGAGAAGTTAGGAGAGGCTATACTTGAGGGCGCCTGGGTGGCTCAGTTGGTTGAGTGTCCAACTTCGGCTCAGGTCATGATCTCACAGTTCGTGGGTTCCAGCCCCGTGTCTGGCTCTGTGCTGACTGCCAGATTCTGTGTCTCCCTCTCTCTCTGACCCTCCCCTGCTCATGCTGTCTCTCTCTCTCAGAAGTAAATAAAACATTAAAAAAAAAAGAGGCTAAACTGGGGGCTGCTATTCAGAAAACTTTCCTTAAAATAGATTATAAATTAACTAGTACTTTTATGTGATAACTGCCCTGTATCTACTTTCAGGCCATGCACAGATTGTCCATCTTCTTTTAGAAAGAAATAAATCTGGAACCATCCCATCCGACAGCCAAGGAGCAACACCCTTGCACTATGCAGCTCAGAGTAACTTTGCTGTAAGTAAAATGTGACAGTTATCTTTTTGTGTAATTGAATTTTTATTTCGACATAAGTATAAATTCATATGGAGTCATAAGAAATTAAAGAGCCACATACCGTGTACCCTCCAGCCCCCAATAGTACCATCTTGCCAAAAGTATGAAAGAATATCATAAACAGAAAATTGACATTCCTACAACCCACTCACCTTATTCACATTTCGTACTAGTGTTTGTGTGTTTGTAGTGATTATATTTTAACAATTGCTCAGACTGTTAACTCTGACTGTAAAGTGAGGGATAGTTGTTAGTCATGTGAAATTTTAACACGGTTTTTATATTAACTGTTCAGTGTAACATTTCGTTCTGTGTAAGTACGTTTCATCTTCTGGTTAATTTTATGGCACTAAGGTTTTATATGCACTTAGTGTTCAAGTGTTTTCTCTGGGTGGCAAGGCCTTAGACCTGGTCTAACCTTGGCTGGGATCCTGACTCTGCCATTGGCTGGCTCTATGACCTGACACAACTTTCTTAACCTCCTAATTAGTTTCTTCATATGTAAAATGAGGATAATTATACCTTTCCTTTCAGGACTGTTGTAAGAATCAGAGAAAATTTGTCACCAGTGCCTAGTGTAGTTTTTGGTACAGAGCAGGTACTCAAGAAATGCAATGCATTCTTACTATTGCCAGAGCTAATAATTTTGTGTATTATATAGCTGAGAAAGCAAAAATGTGAATGATTTCTACAGATATTGAATATAATTAATAATTCTTCCCTTGCCACCCTTTACAGTTTTACAAAGCACTTTTATATCCTTTATGTCACTCAGTTCAGTCAATAACATAACAGCTCGGCTGCTTCAACTCTGTGAGTAAGTGGCCACCGAGAACTGGAGTCTTATCCAAAAAGTCACATGTCAAAGCAGTCAGAATTGACTTTACTATATTCTACGTGGGTGTGTGTAGTGGAACGTTTAGTTACATTACATTATAAGAATGTGGGTGACTCAGTCAGTTAAGGGTCCACCTCTTGATTTCGGCTCAGGTTATGATCTTACGGTTGGTGGGTTCGAGCTCCACATTAGGCTCTGCATTGATGGGTAGAATCTGCTTCAGATTCTCTCTTCCTCTCTCTCTGCCCCTTCCCTGCTTGCACTTGCTCGCTCTCTCCCTGTCTCTGTCTCTGTCTCTCTCTCTCAAAATAAATAAATAAACTTAAAGTTATAAGAATGCCCATCATCAGTATAGTGTAATTCCATCTTCCTGACCTCCCCAAATGCACCACTGAATACATTGAATATTCAGATTCCTAAAATATCTTTTTTTTCCCATCCTTCGTTGTCTCCGGTACCCAGAGCAACTATAGCTATGGTCCCTCTTTCCTGGAATTTCTATAAATGTATCACCTAGACTTTTGGTAAACCATCTTCTATCTTCTATTGTCTCCCATTATTCTGTTGTCTCAGAAGAAGACAAAGTATATTTTGAGGAGGAGCCCTTTCTTGTTACAGACAAGTAAGAAATTCATTGGCCCAGCCTATTCAACCTACAGAAATCAGAACTCAATTCGTATTTCAACGCAAGTCTGTGAGAGGACATGGCATCCCTAATTTAAAGAGTAAGAAACCAAGGTTTCAAGAGATTAAATGACTTGCCCAAGATCTTGAACCCAAGTCTTAGACTTCAAATTTAACACATGCACAAATACCAGCAATTAAGTGACTAAGCTCCTGGGAATAAGGAAGAATGGCAGAACATTATGGATGTTTATCCAAAGACATACTTGCTCTGGATAATCTACCAATCACAGAGATGACTTTTTTTTAATAATTATACAAATCTTCTAAGCTCAATTTCAAGCCCCTTGATCTCCTCGGACTCTGTTAACCCACACGAGGCTATCATTCCCATTTTAGAAAATAACAACAAAAATTCACAAACCTCTGTGAACATTCATCATTAAGAAAACATACTCAACAGGAAATGTTTACAAATCAGTAAAAGAAACAAATCAAAAAATTACCAAGTTTTAAAATCCATTTGTTTATTCCAGTCTCATGTGTACTAAGCATACACAGCAGATCCTAGGAGCACTGTGCTCTAATGCCTCAGTAGCTCAATGTGAATTTTAACACTAGGTATCAGTGTATACAGTGGCATGCAGCCTATACAGTGGAAAGAGTGCTGTGATATAGCTCTGGCTCCACTCCTGTATCTACCACCAGTGTTTGTATGACCTTGAACCTAAATTTCTTCATCTGGGAAATGAAGGGCTGCATTAGATGTGCCGTTGAATTTCTTCTTGCTTTAGAGTATTGAGCATCAACACTTAGACACTTTTGGCCAGCTCACAACCTCCAGCATTTTTTTTTCTGAAACTCTATTTTACTTGCCTTCAAGCTAAAGTTTCTATCATCTCCCTAAATGTGTGTAAGCATATGAGGCTTAAGGAAAGAGGCAATTTAAAATGCTGTGAATACTGACCCCCATTAAAATTGTCAGGCACTATTACAATTATTTCAGGTCTAATTTTAGTGTGATTCCATAAAGGAAGGACCTTGAATATAGGACTTGATAAATAAATATCTGTTTAAGTGAACCAAACACTGCATTTCTCAGTAGTCACGCATCATTATTCAGTAAGTGCATTAAATATTTTTTAAATTATAGTAACAAAACACACAAGAAAATGTATTAACCCTCTCTGTGGTCATGGCTGAGTATACAGTTCTCTGCATATAAAATGTCCAAGAAAAACCTATATTTTAATATTGGTCATAACACTGAATATTTCTGAGTCTTTTAATTTTTTTTAAACATTCATTTTTTGAGAGACAGCGAGACAGAGCATGAGTGGAGGAGGAACAGAAAGAGAGAGAGACACAGAATCTGAAGCAGGCTCCAGGCTCTGAGCCGTCGGCACAGAGCCCGATGTGGGACTCAAACCCACAAACGGTGAGATTACGTCCTGGGCCAAATTCAGACGCTTAAACAACTAGCCACCCAGGCACCGCAGGAGTCTTTTAACCATTACTTCATCTCTCAAAGAGTGACCTATAAAGTTTTCAGACTTGATTGTGGATGATCATTCTCAATTATGAGGATGTTGAATGAGGGAGTTAGGTTAGGTGTTTGAAGCGCATGGAAACTAAAGCTAATATGTAAAGAAAGAGGATTGTTACTTTCAATGGAAATTGTAGTTTCATTATTCATAAAAAGATAATTTCACTTGATTCAAAAGCAGGGAAAAAAATACTTTGCGTCTTAGAGGAAGTCACATATAACAATGGCTTTATTACCATAGAAAATGCTACCCTCTTGTCTCAATTTTTTTAATCAAGTTTTCTTACAGGAAACAGTTAAAGTATTTTTAAAACATCCTTCAGTGAAAGATGATTCAGACCTGGAAGGAAGAACTTCCTTTATGTGGGCTGCTGGAAAAGGCAGTGATGATGTTCTTAGGACCATGCTGAGTTTAAAATCTGACATTGATATTAACATGGCAGACAAATATGGAGGCACAGGTAGGAACTGGGAAACTTGTTCCATTTGCTTTTTGGGGGTTCCAAAGTGTATAGGTGCCCTACAATTTGTACAGTGATGCCTGAAATCATTGTTCCTAATCTAATATTGTTTCATTGGCACTTTTTAAGCTTAGGTTACCAGGATATCACTCCAAAAGCTTTATTTCCTCCAAGTTTTAATGGCTGAAATTAGCCTCTGTTTCTACCAGGTGAATGGTGGCATTTGGTTTAAAAGCCTGGTTGCTCCTTAAACATGATTATGGGAACTCTTCATGTTGTTTATCTTTGAATAAAGTAAATAAATAAACCTGTACTTAAAACTATGCATACTTAGTAGTTATCAGTTATACTTCAAAAATATAGGATTATATTTTAAGGACTGTACATATCTACGTATGTCTCATTCAAAGTGCTCTTTTCTCAGATTTGAAGAGCATTACCTCCTCCCAAATCTCCCATTTTAGAGATAAGCCCCCCCCACCATGACTCTTGAAGCTTCAGAGCTTCATGTTAGGTTTGCATCCAAAGCTCTCAGTAGATCCTTCTTTCAATCTCTTTGTCTAAGAAGAGAGCCCTTCAACTGTGTGTTGGTTAATAAGACAGGTATGAATTTTTTAGCTTTCATTGTCAACTTGGAAGTCTCTACCTTGTGGTACTATATCCTAAATTACAAGTCAGAAGAAGAAAGAAAATCACACAATAGCACAACACCGAACAGAATAAAAACTCAGCTACCAGCTTCTCAGTGTTTTCTTATTTGTAGAATCACAGTAGAGCCATTTGCACCTACAAGAACTACTGATGCGGCTCTCGGTGGGGAGGGGGGGTACACCTGATAATCTCCCTCCCTATACCTAAACCACCACCCCTTCTAAACTGGCTTTCAAGGAGTTGTAGGTGATATCAACTTTAACAAAGACTTTAACTGTCAAAAGTATTTCTTTATCAAAGCCTCACAGTAGACCTTAAGCTTCTTAAAGAAGGGTATATAGTGCAGACATGACATGTAGGACATGGAGTTTATAAGTAGTCTGAACATTTCGGTTTTTGTCAGTCTCCCATTAGTATGCAGCCTTTCATTCTATCACTAGCCTTGCTTTTAGTTTAACATTTTCATAAAGTACGGGCAAGGATAATTCCGTCCTTTTGACCAAAGGCGTCTTTCTGAGGTGCACCATGGTTGGAGTTCAGATATAAGTTCTTCTCAGATTCATTAATTCCCTGGCTCTTTCTCTGAAGGGAATTTTATTATATGTCAGACATGCCTTCCTGACATTTCTCTTCTATGACAGGGAGTTTCTCTCCATCATCCCTCTACAGGGTTGTTTTTCCTTCCCATAAAAGAAGAGTTCTCATCAACAGCAACATACTGACATTATTTGGATCTTGATTCAAATAAACTGAAATAAACAAACAAACAAATAAACAAACCATCAGGAAAATATGGGCACTCTCTGTGTATTCGATATGGCCAAAATTTTGGTAATGTTTTTTTGATATGATAACAGGACTCTCCTGTTTTTACCAGGGCTGCAGACCCCATTTCCCCCTTTGCCAGCAAGTGCCCTGTTGAATCTACCCATAGGGGGCAGTAGAGGGAAACGGGAAAGCTGAAAGAATGGAATTACACCTTCCTGTTTGCTTCCTATTCTTCTTTTGGTTTCCTGTTCCTATCATCATTACCCTAGTAAGTCTTCTTCAACACAAAAGTGATAGTTTTTTCCAATGGTGATGGTTAATTTCACTTTGCAATTTCTCCAACACTCACAGTCCCAGCCCCAGAGCACCCGCCTCAGACACACAAGCACCAGCCAAGCAGCACCCCTGCTCAGAGGTCTGAGTTTTGCCCTCCACAGGGCTCCTCTTCTAGGCTTTTAAGTTTTAACAATTCCATCTTCTTCTTTTTGTCCCCCTAGCCCTAGAATTGCTGGCCGTCTTCTGCATTTACTACCTCTGTGATACCTCAGTGTTCCCTTTTTTTTTTTTTTAATTTTTATTTATTTCTAGGAGAGAGAGAAAGAGAGACAGCGTGAGCAGGGGAGGGTCAGAGAGAGAGGGAGATACAGACTCCGAAACAGGCTCCAGTCTCTGAGCTGGCAATCAGCACAGAGCCCGACGCGGGGCTCGAACCCACAAACCGTGAGATCATGACCTAAGCGAAAGTCGGACGCTTAACCGACTAAGCCACCCAGGCGCCCCCTCAGTGTTCCCTTTTTGCTCTTTCGGTTCTTCAATCCATAGCTAACAATTCTTTATTTTGAGCTCTCTCTGCTAAAGCTTGTCTCTTAAATGGATACTAACATATAGTGGCTGTGTATTTTAAAACGCACGGTTGTCTAGCTAGCAGCTCGGAACCTGCTTGGGATTCTCCTTCTCTCCCTGTATCTCTGCCCCTCCCCCAGTCATGCTCTCTCTGTCTCTCTCAAAATAAATAAATGTACTTAAAAAATGTTTAAGGTTATTTTAAAGTAATGTAAATGCAAATAGTCATAAATGAGGAATTTCAGTTAATAAGGTCATTAATTCTCTTTTGCTTAATTGGGATTTTGTGGTGTGTGTGTGTGTGTGTTTTTTTTATGACATTGGCATTTAACTGAAAAGTATTTATTGCATACTGATGCCACATCACAGAATTGGAGAATTTCAGAATTAGAAAGTACCTTAAAATTAAATCTGATTTTCCAAACCATATTCTTCAGAACAGGTTACTATAGAGTGTTGCCAATGGGGGCAAGTGCTTAAGGGGGTAACTCTCCATCCCTGCTTTAGTCAGAACCACTCTGTCGTATATATTGAGTATTTCATAAAACTTCATTTGAGGGCAAGGGTACTCTCTCTATATATATATATTTATTTATATATTTTATTATGTCATGTAATTAATATATTACTATTATGTTTATTATATTACTTATTTTGCAAGAGAGCAAGAGAACACATCTGCACACAAGTGGGGCGGGGCGCAGAGAGAGAGAGAGAGAGAGAGAGAGAGAATCCCAAGCAGGCTAGGCATTGTATACAAGCATAGAGCCAGAAACAGGTCTCAGTTTCACAAACCGTGAGATCATGACCTGAGCCAAAATCAAGTCCAACGCTCAACCAAGTGAGCCACCCAGGCATCCCTAAAATATATTTTAAATCTTTCTGCTTCTCTTCATCTCCATTCCTGCCACCCTAGCTCAAGCCACCACCATTTTTTACTGAGTCTCCTTCAACACTATTATCTGGTCTCCCTGCTTACATTCTAACCTACTACAGTGCATTCTCTTCAGAGCCGCTAGAGTGATTGGATTAAAGCATGAGTCAAATACCATCACCTATTTAAAGTCCTTCAGTGTCTTCATCACTGGGACCTATGTGGCACATATGCCTGGCCTTCCCTACCTTTCCGATTTACCTGCCTCTATTCATTGTGCTGCAGTTTCCCTGCCTTCCTTAAACACATAGATTTATCCCTGCCCTTGGACTAACTGTTCTCTTTGCCCAAACTCCTCCCTCTTGAGACCTCTACATTGCTCTTTCTTTATGATTCAGGCCTCAACTTCAATATCAGCTCCTTAGCAAGACTTTCCATCACCATCAATTAAAGTGATCTTCTAGTCACTCTGCATATCAAGGTACCTTTTATTACTCCCATTATACCATCTATCACCATCCAATACTTTCTTGTTTATCCATTCCATTTTTATTTTGCTTCTCCTACTAGAATATAACCTTATCTGTTTTGTTCTCTGCTGAATTCCCACCCTTACATTAACACCCAGGCCAGGGCAGGTTCTCAATAAATGCCCAGGAATCCGTGTTTTTATAGGCACCATGGGTTTTGTCCATGGATCACTGTTTACGAACATTATTAGAATATTAGAAACATTATTCTAGGCATTTTAGAGCCATGGTACTTAGGAAGAACTGGCCCCGGCCTCTAGACAGTTATGCTGGCAAACTCAGAACTTAAGGAGTGGTGTGTTGAAATAGAATTTAAAGAGTAATCCAAAGGGTAATGGCATAAGTCAAGCACTAGAATGAAGTAACGTAGGCACAGGTCAGCATAACATTAAACTCATATACAGTCAAAATGACTCTTTCAAATCCCATTTGAAGGCAGAGCCCATTCCTTCTCAGGTGTTTTCACCAATGTTGAAACAACTTGCTGTTTCTTAAATTGGGCCCTGAGGAAATCAATGGCTTGCATTTGGAGCCATGTTATATGAAAAATGCACTGAATACGTGGGATGCGCGTACTCTCTGTACCACATGGGTATGCAGTCTGACGGCAGGAATGGCACGGTGGAGCCACTGAAGGGCCGGCAGATCGACACCTCCCATCCCGCCAACCCTCAGGGGCAGTTTCATTGAGTGGGTTGGTGGGCAGAATTGCCTGCATCATTTAAATCATTTCTCTTTTGTCTTTTTTTTTTTTTTTTTTGGTTCCCTTACACTCTAAGAGGGAGGAAAAGATAATAAAGTAGTAACTGAGGAAAGGAAAGCATTTCAGAGCAACAGGATGGAAAGGAAGAAACCATGAGATGAGAGAGATAGACGGGAAGGGGGGAAACGTGAGTAGTACATGTGAATAGAAAGGAAGATTGAAATCTATAGAAATGAACAATAGAGAATCTTTAAGATTAAATTGCGTTTAGCCAAAATGAGGACATCAGAAGAGAAAAAGATACACAATTAGGATTAAAAAAAAAAAGGTGAGGTTGTTATCAAAGAGTTCTCTGCTTTCTTTTGCTCCCTTTTCAGCTTTACATGCTGCGGCCCTTTCTGGCCATGTCAGCACCGTGAAGTTATTGTTGGAAAATAACGCTCAGGTAGATGCCACTGATGTCATGAAGCATACTCCACTTTTCCGAGCCTGTGAGATGGGACACAAAGATGTGATTCAGACACTTATTAAAGGTTAGTTATGAAGAGTGCTCCTACTAAGTGTCTCTCGGAAGGTGGGAATTGTTGCATTCACTGAAACACAGCTTACATGGCACAGAGCCGCGTGGGTGGAAGGATGGAGGGAGAAGCACCACACACACACATGCAAGCACACACATGCAAGCACACACACGCAAACATACACGCATGCATGCACATGCGCACCTACATGCCCGCAAACACATACATACACACATGCATGTTGCATGCACGCTCACGCGCGCGCACACACACACACACACGCACCCACCCACCCACACACACACACACACACACACACACACACAAGCATCAGGAAACCTGAGAGTCACTCTTAGTTCCACCTGTTGGTAGTTGTGTGATTTCGGAAAAGCCACTTCACCTGCCTGACCCTCAGTTTCATTTCGTGTAAAAAGAAAATGACTCCCACCCTGACCAACTTACAGGCTTATTGTAAACATCTGAAGAAGATAATATACATAGAAGCATTTTGCTAAGAGTAAAGCATTTAAGGGACCATTGTTATATTTTTCAGACATCCATTCTTTCTGATCAGTGCTCTCTATGTTACACATTTTCCTGATAGTTTTGCTTTTTCAGGTGGAGCAAGGGTAGATCTAGTGGATCAAGACGGACACTCTCTCCTACATTGGGCAGCACTGGGAGGAAATGCTGATGTTTGCCAGATATTGATAGAAAATAAGATCAATCCAAACGTGCAGGATTACGCAGGAAGAACCCCTCTGCAGTGCGCTGCCTATGGCGGCTACATCAACTGCATGGCAGTGCTCATGGAAAATCATGCAGACCCTAACATTCAAGACAAAGAGGTAGAAATTCTCAATCTTTTCTATACTGTTGGCTCTACGGTGTTTATTTATTCTTCATTAACTAAAGTAAAGTAAAACAACATTTTACCAAATAAATAGATCACATAAATTTATCTGTCAACTAAAAATGAGTCTTATTTTCCCCTGTTTTCCTTCTCGTTCTTGTCTCTATATCCATATATAACTTAACGAAGTCATAATACAGAACAGGAATAACTTTCTAACTTCATAAAATAAGTATATATGGTGCACGTGTGTGTGTGTGTGTGTGTGTGTATGATGCTTGACAAACCACACTTTGTTTTGTTCACTTAAAATTATCATCAGTATTTTCTCTTCTGGTATATAATCTTCTGCATAATCATAGATGGTGAATATTCCAAAGTTCTAGGAGCTTTATGTTTCATAACTCATTCAATTCTCACAGCAACTTTCTAAAAGAGTTGCTATTATTACTCCCATTTACAGGGGAGAAAATTGAAGCACATAGAACTTAAAGAATTACCCTAAGGTGACCCCAGGGCCAGTGTTGTTGTGGGGAGTAAGGGTCCAAACTATGCTTGTAACCCCAATTTTAGAATTAAGTAAGCAACTTCCTGTTGCTGGGTGCTTTCTTGTGATATTATAGATCATGTTTCATTAATCATCAAAGTACGTTTAACTTCTTTTTATTTTATCCTTAGAATAATTTCCCCAAGTGAGATTATTTATTATTGGTATATGAATATGATTCAGCTCTGATACATACTGTCAAACTGCTTTCTAACCCATGTGGGTTCATCTCCACTTCCCCAGCCAGATAGGATTGTATTGACTTCTCTCAGTTTTGCCAGTATGGACTTTTTTTCTAGTTTAATTGCATTAAGTCTTCAAAAATACTAGCATATTATGTTTTTTGAAGCCAGAAAATATATTTTTTATTCATTCAGTCAATAAATATTTATCAGGATTATTCCTATATGTGAAAGTGACATAATGAAAATTACGTAAAAAATGGCCTATGTTTCTAGAAATTCATCTTTTGTAATCTGTAGTGTCTTTTACATTTTTTTTTACAAGTTTCTGGTTTCTTACATAAGTAGTATATCAAGCTACGTTCTAGTTCTATTAGTTTTTATGTACTGTTTTGGATTCTCTGCATAAACAGCCATATCATCTGTGAATAGCATGCCTTATTGAATGAAGACCTCCAATACATTGTTAAACAGAATTGGTAATAGTTAGCACCCTTAATTCATTCTGACTTCGAAGGGAAAGCTTTAAAACTTTCACCATCAAATATGAAGTTTGCTGTAGGTTCCCTTATATTTTTAGTTTCTAAGAATTTGGGTTTTTAAATTCACAATTAGCTGTTTAATTTTTTTTTAATTTCTTTAATGTTTATTTATTTTGGGCAGGGAGACACAGAATCTGAAGCGGGCTCCAGGCTCTGAGCTGTCAGCACAGAGCCCGATGCGGGGCTGGAACCCACAAACTGTCAGACTGTGACCTGAGTCGAAGTCAGACACTTAACTAACAGAGCCACCCGGGTACCCCAAGCTGTTACATACTATTTCTGCATTTTTCAACCTGATGGCTGGTGAATTAAAAAGAGTTAGGAAGTAGTTCCTCCTATTCTCTTAAAGATTTGTGTAATATTGGTATTACTTCTTTTTAAATGTTTAGAAGAATTCCCTAGTGAAGCCATCTGGTCTAAGGGTATTCTTTGTTTAAAAGATGTTAATAACTGATTAAGCATCATTAATAAATACAAGATTATTCAGATTTCTAATTATTTTCTTTTCAGCTATGGTAAGTTGCATTTTTGAGAAATGTATCCTTTTTATTAAAAATATCAAATGATTTGCATTAAGTTGGTCACATATTCTCTTACCTTTTTATGACTATAGGACCTATATTAATTTCTTCTTATTCATTTCATATATTGGTAATGTATATTGTCTTTTTTTCTTATTAAAAAATTTTTTCAGGGGTGCCTGGGTGGCTCAGTCAGTTGGGTGGCCAACTTTGGCTCAGGTCATGATCTCACGGTTCATGGTTTCGAGCCCCGCATCAGGCTCTGTGCTGACAGCTCAGAGCCTGGAGCCTGTTTCAGATTCTGTGTCTCCCTCTCTCTCTCTGACCCTCCCCTTCTCACACTGTCTCTCTCTCTCTCAGAAATTTAAAAAAAAAATTTTTTTCCATCTTATTCATCTTCTCAAAGGACTTCTGTCTGTTAATTTTCCATATTTTAAGTAATTTACTATTTCATTGGTGTTTACTCTTATCTTTATCATTTCCTGCTATCTACTTTCCTCAGGTTTGATTTACAATTTTTTTAAAGATTCTTTTGATAAAAATTTAAAGCATTGATTATTTTTCAGTAATCACTTCCAATATATGTATTTAAGCATGCTTCTTATTCTAAGCATGGCTTTAGCTTTATCCTGAAAGTTCGGGTAAATTGTACCCTCACTGGGGCGCCTGGGTGACTCAGTCCTGGGTGGCTCAGTCAACTGAGTGTCCAACTCGATTTTGGCTTATGCCATGATCCCAGGGTAGTGGGATTGAGCCCCGTGTCAGGCGCTATGCTGAGCATGGAACCTGCTTGGGATTCCCTCTCTGTCTCTTTCTTTCTCTAAATCTCTCTCTCTCTTAAAAAAAAAAAAAAAAGAATTGTACCATCACTATAATTCAGCTCAAACATTTTCTAATTTCTATTTTGATTTTTATTTGGCCCATAGATTATTTAGAAGTATATTGTTTAATATCCAGACAGTTTGGCATTTTCTCATTATCTTTCAGTTATTGATTATATTGGTTTCCTCCTGATTGCTAAGACAAACTACTGCAAACTTCGTGGCTTAAACCAACACAAATGTATTATCTTACTGTCTTGGATGTCAAAAGTCCAAAATGTGTCTCATGGCACTAAAAATCAAGGTGTTGGCAAGACTGCATTTCTTTTGGAGACCCTAGGGGAGACTCTGTTTCCTAGTTTTTCCAGCTTCTAGATGCTGCCCTCCTTCCTTAGCTTGTGGCCCCCTTCTTCTATCCTCAAAGCTACCAATGACTAGCTGAGTCCGCCTCACACTGCATCACTCTGACACACCTCCCCCCATCTCCCTCCTTCACTTATAAGGACCCATATGATTACATTGGGCCTACTCAGATCATCCAGGATAATCTCCCAATCTCAAGTTCAGCTGATTAGCAACCTTAATTCCATCTATAACCTTAATTCCCCCTTTCCAATATCATAAAATAGTTACAAATTCCAGAGATTAGGATGTAGACATCTTTGCAAAAGCATGCATTTATTCTGTCTACCACACTGATTTGTAACTTCAGCTTTACTATGGTCAGAAAGCAATCAGAATAACAATTATTTTATTTTTATTTTTATTTTATTTCAGAATTATTTTAATCCTTCAAAGTCCTTTGAGGCTTTCTTTGTGGCCCAGCCTATGATTGATTTTGGTAAATGTTCTATGTACACTTGAAAAGAATACTAATTATATCATAGTTGGATGCAATATTCTACAGATATCACTTAGGTCAAAGTGTTTTACTATGTTGTTCAGGCCTTCTATATCTTTACTGCTCTTTTATTTATTTGTTCTATGATCTATTGTAAAGAATGGGTTAAAAATTTCTCACCGCGATTATAGATTTGACTATCTCCCCTTTTAATTTTGCTATTTTTTGTTCTATATATTTAAAAGCTGTGGCAAACAGATCTAGAATTATGATATCTCCCTCTTTGACTTCTTTAAAACTATGAAATATTCCTCTTGTGTCTCTGGCAATGTTTCATGCCTTCTTTATCTTTCATGGTATTAAATTTTTTTAAGAATACAGGCCATTTATTTTGTAGAATCTCACTCAATTTGAGTTTGCTTTATGATTCCTCATAATTAAACTTAAGATTTACATGTTTGGTTAGAATATTATACAGGTGATATTGAATCCTTCTCAGGGTATCACCTCTAGAGACATATGGTGCCTTTTAACATAGTGTTAATTTTTATCACTTGGTTGAGATACCATCCATTTTCTCCACTGTATATTTAATTTTTTCCCATTTCATAATTGAGCTATTTGGGACAATTGCTTGTATTTTTTCGTTAGCATAAGTAAGTATGTGTCCAAAAATAGCTACTTCAGCTATACCGGATTTTTGTTTATGCTTATAGGGAAGAACAGCTTTGCATTGGTCCTGTAACAACGGATACCTTGATGCCATTAAACTACTATTAGACTTTGCTGCTTTTCCTAATCAGATGGAAAACAACGAAGAAAGGTAAGCTGTTGTTAAAAAGAGTGTATTGTTATTCAACTTACATCCTTTCTGCTAGATGTAAAAATCTCAGATTTAGATACTAGTTGAGAAGTAATAAGTATACTCCTAAGGAAACACTACACTACAGTAAGAAACCCTAAACCTAAAGGAAAGTGTCGATGTAGAATCGTGAGATTTTAAAATGATTCAGAACTTCAGATATTACCTCTGGCACGTGCACATTTTACAGATGAGGAAACTTAGGTTCTTGTGGCTTGTAACTGGCATAAAGTCAGGGGAGTCCTAACTGACCAGACCTAGGAATTCAGTTAGGACAGTAGAATGTGTCTTACGTGCAAGAAGTTTCTCCTGATAAAGAGGTTATATTATCAGTTAGTGGACAGAGGTGCCACCGTGTGGCATGAAAAATAAGGAGAAGGTGAGAGGATTGAATAATGTAAGATTCGCACAGTTAGGCCGGAGTTAGGCCTCAGGGCCCAGGCCCAATAAAAAGGAGCAGACACCGTGTGAAGTGTAAGCAGGAGACAGTGTTGGCCATCTGGGGTCTAGGAAGATTCTGACCATCTGACTTCCGCACCTGAGCTCCACCCGGCCAGGTCTGTGTTTTGGTTTCCATTGCTCACGGATGCTGTAACTGCACTGCTTCCTGCCGTGACACCAGCCCCACCCCCACAGCCACCGCCAGTTCTGTGGGAGATTTTGTGGGGAAGGGGGGACTTTCTCTAGGCCGGCTGTTTGTCTCAGGAAACCCGCTCTTCCTGTCTGGGGTGAACCCCTTCATCCCTCCCACTTCTTTCAGAACCCCTCCGCCTTAAGGATAGCCTCCGCCTATTATTTTCCAATTTGCTTCTTTTCTGAAGTTTGTCTTCTCCACCTATAAAGCCCTCCTGCTTCTGGAGTGTCTGCGCTGCTCTGTTTCCCCTTACTCACGCTTCCTGCCTTTGCCGTCTGCCTTCCATCCTCACGTTTATGCTGAAACCATGTCTGAGTGGTCCTGGACAGACTCCCCGTTGAGAAACCATCCGTTGGTCTCCCTGTCTGCTCTCACGGGCCTTTCTGTATCTCCTGGTTCTGCTGACCCCTCTTCTTTACCTTTACTGAGACTATCTTCTCCAAGCTTCTTGATTCTCTTGCAGTTGTGTCTACTCCTTCTCCATTTATTTTGGCTTCTTTTCCATTTTTTTAAATTTTGTAAATGTAAACATTCTTCAAGAATGGGATCTTTTCTCTCAGCCCATCCCCTTTGGCTCTCTGACCTACCACTGAGGCTTCAGCAATCACCTGGGTGCCGGTGAGTTCTAAAACTGTCTTTCAGACTCAGTGTCTCTCCTTGGTTCCACTATTGTCTAAGTCTTGCCCTCTTTGACTCATTCCCGGGACTACGGCAATGCATCCTTGCTGTGCTGCACCCTTTGAAATTTCCCTCATTCAGTTCATCTCCTTCCCAGGTAGCCTCCCTAAATCATATTTCTAGTATAGCTGTTAGTCACGTCATTCCTCCGTTCAAATGCAGTCCCATCTAAGAAGATTGTTCTGATCCCCGAGGCATGTGTTCTGTGCTCTGCCCCATGCTGTGGATTTGTATAGTACTTAGCACACGTCACTTTATCTGATAATTTTATGTCATCCTTTTTCCATAGTAGCAGAGAACTCCTGAAGATTATTGTCATCTCTGTGTTGCTCACAGTGCTTTTCAGGAAGTAGGTGCTCAGCAAATAACAGTTGTACTGTTGAGTTGATGCTTTCAGGCTCCCAGTAGCTTCCCCTGCCTCATATCTGCATTAGAAACTTCTGGAATTCTTTAGGGCACCTGGGTGGCTCAGGTGGTAAAGAATCTACCTCTTGGTTTTGGCTCAGGTTGAGGTCTCATGGCTTCCTGGGTTCAAGCCCCACATCGGACTCTGTACTGGCAGCACAGAGCCTGCTTGGGATTCTCTCTCCCCCTCTCCCCACCCCTCCCCTACTTGTGCTGTCTTGGTGTCTCTCAAAATAAATAAACTTAAAAAAAAAAAAAGAAAAAAGAAACTCTGGAATTCTTTGAGTACCTAGGTAAATCAGACCTGTATGTCTTACTGTGGAAAAGGTTATATGAAGAACTCACTGTCTCTATTATAGTCAAATGACAACTGCAAATCCAAGAAGACTCGAAGATTTAGGGGTTTGGACATTTAAGGAAGCTGTAAAGCCAAGCAGAATCCTCAAGGCTGAGGTTTTGACATGAAAGCAGATATGTGAGAGCAGAAGATTTTGCTTTTGGAAACCCCAAAAAGGCAAAAGGGAAAGGTTAAGAATCCTAAAGAATTCGTGGTGATTCATTTCTATTATAAAGCATTTATTCTATAACAGTATTTACTGCCTGATTGCTGTCTTCTTAGGAAACAATTAAAACATTTGTTGTTGTAATTCAGTTCCCATTTTTAGGGTACGCCTTAAATTTCAGGCCTAAGTAAGAGTATGAATTAAGGTGCTTACTGCCTCCTAGAGTAAACATATGTTAATTACAGACCAAAAGACCAAAGGAAAAATCCTCCTAACCGTACTTGCCCATCTTTAGATGAAAAGAGACAGTGGCAATATCCCAGTCTCCTTTAATGTTTCATCAGCAGTGCACCTTGATGTACAAATGTCAGAACCTGGCACTGCCTTTGATGTTTATTGACATTCCAGTTTAGACCTTCCACTCATCCCATCAGACCATTCCTACACAGGCAAGTCCAATTGTATCTTGTCTCTTGCCTTTATCTACATTGTTTCTTGACTGGTTACCATCAATGTAGTGCTAATTTTTACTTCTCATGCACTGACACCAAGCGCTTGATGTGCACTGTATAGACATAATTTTTGCCAATTACTGCTGGCTTTCAGTCAATAGCTATCTGACAGCCACCCTCCGGCATCGATAGGAATATTCACAGCACTTGAGTGTTTCTAAATTGAATTTGGAGTGAAGAAAGATTCAATAGTAATAATTTGCAATATGGTCAGTGCCCAAGCACTAGGCATAGACTTCAGTCTTAAAATATTTCTAGATATTTGGACTGTGTTTCCCTGAATCAAAAACTGACCAAGAATCGTAATCTGAATAAGCCAGTTATGAAGAAGGCATTTTTGAGAAAATTGGGGAAATTTGTATTTGGAGTGGGCACTAGATTTTGCGAAGGAATTCCTGTTAGTTCCTCTCATTCCATAATGACACTATGCTTATGTCTATATTATTTATGGATCAATACTGCAGTGCAGAAAGATTAAATAATAGGAGTTCTGGGATTGGCTTTAAACTACTTCAGCAAAAATAATAAGGAAGGAGTTGGAGGAAGCAAATGTGGCAGAAATCTTGCTAACTGTTAAATTTGGGTAATGAGCAGATAAGTGGTTATTATACTATTCTCTTTCCTTTTGTTTATGCTTGAAGTTTCTCATAATAAAAATATAGTTTTTTTCATGATAAAGATATTTAAAATACAGTTTTCCATCCACAAGCGGCCTGAGAGGTCTAGCAAAGGCAGAGGCTGGGCCTTGCTTTCACACACCAGATTCTGGTAATCCTGCTTGTATACCATGTGAAAGACACTCATATTAGTATTTCTGGAAAAGATGATCAAGCCTACTGAATGCATACGTTATTTGCACATTGATGTGAGAAGCAGCCTCATTCTGTAGGAGAAGTATATTCCGGGACTAGTAGGTGTGCTGTGGGAGAGTTCCTGAACAGGGAGTCGGACAGTCTTCATTCAGGTCTGGGTTCTGCAGGGAACTGGTTACAGAACCTTCAGCAAGTTGCTTAATCTTTCTGGATCTGTTTACTCCTTTATAAAATGAAACTGTTCAGCCAAACGACCTCTAAAATTCAGTGTAACTCTACTGTCGTGGAGTTCTATATAGGACTCTGACAATCTTTTCCATTGGGGAGCGTACAGTTGTGAAAGACATTTTAGAATACATAGCGATTACACTTATCTTGATCAGTCTATCACTGTAGTGTACTCCTGAAACTGATTTAGCACAGTATGTTAACTATACTGGAATTAAAATAAAAAAATAATAGGGGCACCTGGGTGGCTCAGGCAGTTAAGTGTCTGACTTCGGCTCAGGTCATGATCTTACGATTCGTGGGTTCAAACCCTGCGTCAGGCTCTGTGCTGACAGCTCAGAGCCTGGAGTCTGCTTCAGATTCTGTGTCTCCCTCTCTCTCTGCCCCTCCCCCACTCATGCTCCGTTTCTGTCTCAATCATAAATAAACATAAATTTTTTAAATAAAATAAATAAAATGTTTAAAAATAATAAAATTTTTAAATAAAATATATAGTGAAAAATTTTTAAGTTCTTCCGAATTTTCAAGATGCTACCTACTTATAAATAATATTTTTAAAGTTTACATGGGCACCTCTACCTTATGGCCTTCTGGTCCCTGAATAGCAAAGACAAATCAAGATGTACTAAAATAAAAGTTTCTTAATTTTAACATATAGGACTTCCTTCTGAATTCAGTTTCCTTATAGAAATGACCAAACCACCCTTTGCTTATACTGAAAAATTGCCTCCGTTGACATCTGACTATGACTGCTAGGTGAGTTTTGAAGAGAGAAAATCTGTATAATCACTGGATGATTTTCTGTGTCTAATCATGCATCCATGTAATCTTCAGTTTTTCTACCTCATAAATCAGCTGATCATTTCTTCCTAATGCCTCTGATTGTGTTGGATTAATAACAGTCTCCCAGAGAGGAATCAGATCAGTAGCAGTCGTTAGTTGGCCATAACTACTAGCTCGGGTCCTGTGGGAATAATACTGATGATATGTGGCCGTGGTATCACAAACCCCAATGCAGTGCATGTCCTATAATAATAACAACAGCTGACATTTATTAATTGCTTCTTTTATGTCAGGCACAGCGTTCTTTTTTGTGTTTATTATTTCACGTTCTCTTCATGCCAAGTCTGTAGTGAGGAGAGGTAAGTTGGTTAAGAAGTGACAGTCAGCATTGTCGTTGTTGGCAGGTAGAACTGAGGTTTTATTTTACTTCAATTTTTGTGGGAGGTTTTTGCATTGTTTTAATACTTAAAATATGTGCCATTATTACAAAGTAATTATTTAGAAAACATACCTGTCGAGATAATAACACTGGTTAATTGTAAAGAGGAGGAATATAGATGACCGTTATTTTCTTCTGTATATTTATCCTATTCTTTTATATTTCCAGAAATAGAAAGGATATATTTTAAGAAAAGAATTTGCCTAAGAGTATACATCTAGAAAGTAGCCAGTTGAGATTCAAATATGTAACTATGACCAAAAAAAACATATCTTTTCTAAATAATAAGTTTATCAAAAAGGCATGCACAGTGTATATAATCTAAAAGGCATAAAAGGGGTGCCTGGGTGGCTCAGTTGGTTAAGCATCCATCTTGATTCTGGTTCAGGTCATGATCCCATGGTTCGTGGGTTCGAGCCCTGTGTCCAGCTCTGTGCTAGCAGTGTGGAACTCGCTTGGGATTCTCTCTCCCTTTCTACCCCTCCCTGTTCTTTCTCTCTCTCCTCTCTCTCTCTCTCTCAAAGTAAATAAATAAATTTTAATAAAAGGCATAAAGGGGTGCCTGGGTGGCTCAGTTAGGTGTCTGACTTCAGCTCAGGCCATGATCTCACAGTTCGTGGGTTCAAGCCCCACATTGGGCTCTGTGCTGACAGCTCAGAGCCTGGAGCCTGCTTCAGATTCTGTGTCTTCTTCTCCCTCTGCCCCTCCCCCACTCACACTCTGTCTCTCTCTAAAAAATAAGTAAACATTAAAGAGCCTAAGTGTCCATCAACGGACAAATGGATCAAGAAGATGTGGTTTATCTATACCATGGAATACTACATGGCAACGAGAAAGAATGAAATCTGGCCATGTGTCGCAACATGGATGGACCTTGAGGGTGTTATGCTGAGCGAAATAAGTCAGGCAGAGAAGGACAAATATCATATGTTTGCACGTATAGGAGGATTAGGAGGAATTTAATTGAGGACCATGGGGGTTAGAAGGGGGGAAATGGTGGGGGAAAGGGAGAGAGGCAAACCATGAGAGACTCTTGAAAGCTGAGAAACAAACTGAGGACTGATTGATGTGGGGGAAGCGGGGGAGATGGACATGGAGAAGGGCACTTGTGGGGATGAGCACTGGGTGTTATATGGAAACCAACTTGACAATAAACTATTTGTAAGGGGAAAAAAAAGAAAAACTGAAAAAAAAGAAATTAAATAAAAGGCATAAAAAAGCATTCAGTGAAAACTAAATGTCCCTCCCACCCCTGCCTCTGAGACAGCCAGTTTCCTCCCCAGAGATGCCAGTGTCAACCAATTTCTTGGTAAACTTCTAGAGATATATTTTCCATCGATAAGAATTCAGGGATATATTCTTTTTTTTTCATACATATGGAGCATACCATAATACTGTTCTGCTGCTTTTTTTTTTTCTTTTTCTGCATTTAACAAGACATCCTGGACATTGTTCCTTATTTATTCATCTGCCACAGGAATGGCTGCATTATAGAGATGACTTCATTACGCAAATGGCCTGTACTTTATGTAAGCAGTGTCCTGTTGCTGGGTCCTCAGCTTGTTCCATCCTTTCACTGTTTTGAACTGTACCTCTGTGAACATCCTTACAAAGAGAGCATCACACACACACACACACACACACACACACGAGAACAGGTCTCTAGGATATATACCTGCAAGTGAAATGCCAAAGGGCAGATGCGGGAACAATTTTGATAGGTTTTGCCCAATTGTTCTTTCTGAAGATTAAAGTAGTACATGGGGCGGGGGAGGGGGGCACTAGTGGGGATGAGCACTGGGTGTTATATGGAAACCAACTTGACAATAAACTATTTGTAAAAAAAAAAAAAAAAAAATATATATATATATATAGGTAGCGCCTAATAGGTAGCGCCTAAGCAACTAAAAAAAAATAAAAAAATAATAAAAAAATAAAGTAGTACATAGAGAGCCTGTCTCTCTGCGTCCTCGCCAGCACAGTGTGGTATTAAATTTTGTAATCTTTGCTCATCTGCTCATTAAAGTCCTCTCCTTGTTAGTCTTCATTTGTATTTCTCTTAAATGAGCAAGGCTGCACATATTTTTGTATATTTAGGAGCCGTCAGCGTTTCCTGTTCTGAGGACTCTCTTTTGTTTTTGGAGCTTTTTGTCCTGCTCTTTTTCTATATTTGGGTCTTTGCTTCATCCAGAACTCATTTTCGTGTAAAATGTGATATAAGAATCTTTCTTTATTTTTTTTTTTTTCCAGATGGCTATGCAGCTTTCAATAAGCCATGCTTTCTGAGTTAAAGGGCCATCCTCATCATATACTAAATCTCTCCATTCGGAGATGTAGTTTTTATTTCACAAGCAATAACTATCAGTAGTCCTGGGCTTAAACTTAGGAATCTCAGAGGAAATTATCTGCAATACTTTTTCAGATAGAAGCAAGGTATTATTTGGCACATGGGGAAGAAGAAAAGTGATCACGTGTTCCTATGGCCCCCAGTTTGTGAGCCAACAAGCAAGACCCAGGAATCATCACGGGTCAGTGACACAAAGCACCTGACCCCAGTTCCTGCCTTGTTTTGTCCCTTCAGAGAAAAAAAGGAACGGCCCCGGAGTACACAAGATAGCCTTGCCTGAGGAAGGCTCCACGTCTCAGAATGAGGTTTCCTTTGCCGCATACTATCGCCAGCTGAGCTGCACCTCAGATTACACACGGACACTTACAAAATACCTTCCTCCTTCAGGTACACTCCCCTTGACTATGCCTTGCTCGGTGAGCGCCATGAAGTGATCCAGTTCATGCTGGAGCAAGGCGCCCTGTCCATCGCAGCCATACAAGACATTGCTGCCTTCAAAATCCAGGCCGTCTACAAAGGGTACAAGGTCAGAAAAGCTTTTCGAGATCGGAAAAATCTCCTCATGAAGCACGAGCAGTTGAGAAAAGATGCTGCCGCCAAGTAAGTGTGAGCTGTGGACATCGTGTTCCCACAGCCGGGCATCGGGGTGGAAGGGGGCGCGTGGGGGGAGCGGCCAGCAGGAGGAACCCCAAGAGCATCAGAAAGAAACAGTTTTGATCCCCGTCCCCGTGTCACCCCCCGCTTCTGCCCACCAGGCCTGCGGGGCACTACAGGGAAGGATCAAGGCCCAGGCTCTATTTGGTGGCTGTTGCTCTAGGTTCGCCCCTCATGTTCCCACCCAGGGACAAGCCACGGCCACAGCCACCGTGGCGAGGAGTGGGGGGCAGGAGCATACCTACAGGAAGCTACACCGAGATAAGTGCTCCTCCTCCTTCCTTTCCTGCCCTTCCACAGGAAACCGACACCAGTATCTAGCCTACTTCACGAGAAGTGTCTAGTTTTGATTTGATTAAAGCGACCAACGTGTGTGAATAACTTGCCCTCCCCACCTGTTCCTCATCAGATCTGTACTAAATCATGTGATGTGTTCAAGAACCATTGACCGGATTCTTACTGTACATACAAAAGTCTTGGCTGGAGCCTTTGGGGAAAATAGTGACTTTGCTTCAAGGACCTCACACTATTCGTATAGAATGTGTAAAATAGTCAATATGCGCCTGTTACGTACACAGTGTGATTATTTTACCAGAAGTGATTGATTTTAGATTATGCCTTGGTTTGCCTTTTCTGGGATACCTTTGTTGGGGTGCTCTACCAAGCAGGGGACTATTGCATCAGGAGGTGTAGGTCCCGAAGCCTCTGATGTGAAAGGTAACGGGCAGAATCTTAACTTCCTGGCTGGACCATGAATGTTGCTAAATCTTGAATCCTTCCATACCTTGCCCACAAGGGGGAAGCATGAGTGTAATAAATAATAATTTGAAATAATAATAATAAAAGGCAGGATAACCCATTTTAGTGAGGAGTTAAATGCCACTGTGAACTGGGATGCTAACTATAATGGTGGCCTTCGTCAGATAAGATTGACAGGAAGACTTCATTTTCTGTGACTGAAGCTACCGCAGTTGATGGCATCCTAGGAAATATTATCTTGCACGGTTCTCTTTATGAGGCTCTCTTCTCTTCCCTTTAGCCAAAAAATCCAGTGTAACCTAAGACCTCTCTACGTGCCTCTCCTTCTATCCTTATTAGGAAATTTCCTTGCATGAGAGTGACAACTGTTAAGTAGGTACTGCACATGGCAAATTATCCCGAGTTGTAAGTTAAATATTCTCTGTAAGGGATGGAATGCTGTATTTCCTTCCATCTGATGTTTCCATAAACTCAGGTTTTAATGTGTGAGAATCTGTTTGCAGAATTTGAAGTCATACCTACCTGAATATGTGGTGGGACTGTACAAAGGCAACGACTTTGTATGTCCTCCCCACCCCCACCCTCCGACCAAAAAAAGTATATTAGTCCAAATACATGCCATTTCATTAGTGTAGAGAGGCGGCTCTGGAGTCCCCAGACTCCCTCTCCAGCAGAATAGAGGGACTGTGGGGGAACACAGCATCCCTCTCTCTGAGCCTCAGTTTTTTCATCTGTGAAACATGACAGATTAGACCAGCTGACTTGCAGCACTCTTCAGTTCTGCGGAAACGCCTCCCCCACCCAGTCTTCTCAGTTAATGATCTCAGCCTCTTCCTTCTCTCCTTTGCCCGCAGCGCTGCCTAGCGGCCATATTCCCAGGGCCAAGAGTTTGGACAGGGACTGCTGAGTCAGTGTAGAGGTGAGAACCAAGAACCCACTGGTCAGAAGGTCTCCTATACAGAGGAAGGGCTTTCACATCAGGACAGACATAAATAGAGTCTTAGAATATTTTTTTTCTAACCAGGCCTTTTGTGACTCCGAGTCGTGAGGGTTTGAAAGGGTAGGGGGATTGAGGGACCGTCTAGCCCAGCCCCCATTGGTTGTTATCCTGCTTGGTTTCATAGTCGTGGACAATGGGTCCTCTTTGTTCTTAGTTCTTAATTTCTGAAACTCATTTTAAAAACTTGTTTATTCTTTTTGAGAGAGAGAGAGGGAGAGCAAGTTGGGGAGGGGCAGAGGGAAAGAGAGAATCTTAGGCAGGCTCCATGCTCAGCATAGAGCCTGACACAGGGCTCAATCTCATGCCCCTGGGATCATGATCTGAGCTGAAATCAAGAGTTGGATGTTCAACCAACTAAGCACCCCTTAAAATATTTTTAAAAACCTGTTACGTGGAGCTGTGCTTACTGAGATAATATCTCAGGCCCAGACTGGAAACTGTAACCTCCTTTCCTTTTTCTCAGTCACAATTTTTCCTCTATTAGATGTCATTATTAGAAGTAAACAAACTTCTTAGTCTAACTATCACCTCCTACTGTGCTTGTGTGCATAGAACTCCAAAAGAAATATTTAAAGAGAGAAGAAACTGATTTCACTTGTTTTAATTTGCTTCTCAAAAGTTATTTCTTAAGATCTGAGTCACTATTGGGGCACCTGGGTGGCTCAGTCAGTTGAGCGTCTGACTTCAGCCCGGTCATGATCTCAGTCTGAGTTTGAGCCCCACATCAGGCTCTGTGCTGACAGCTCAGAGGCTGGAGCCTGCTTCAGATTCTTTGTCTCCCTCTCTCTCTTCCCCTACCCTGCTCACTCTCTCAAAACTAAATAAACTTAAAAATTAAAAAAAAAAAAAAAAAGATCTGAGTCACTGTTTAACTTTGGCTTTGGTTTTGGCTTTAAGGAACAAAAATCAGAATGTTGACTTCAGTCCTTGCTGCTGCCGCCTCGCCGGCCAAGGCAGCCCTGGCACATGACGCCGCCTCAGTCTACCTTTCCCAGCGTATCACATCAGGATGGCACACATCACCGTCCCTAAAGCAACGATGTGAAAAGAACTTGTTAGACTTAAAATGACTTCTCATTTACTGATTGAGAAATTGGGAGAGAGCAAAGTTTTAGTCATGCTTTCCAAGGCATGTCTTTTAGAAAATACTATTTAGGAAACACCTATAATCTCCTTAAAAGCACTTTATAACTCACACTGCACCACCTATGCTGTTGCCAAAAGGAACATTGCTATAATTTACCTGCCACAGCACACAGTTGAATGCACACTAGACAAGACTGTATTTATGTTGATCACTCTTCTCCCCGGAAGCTTCCTTTTTGCCGAGTTTTTATTTCACTCTCTAATCCCAGCTCTCTTCTATCTCTGTCTCTTCCTTCTCACAGCTCTTTAATTATACCATCTCCGCACTGAGGTCAGCTCCACAGCCTCGCTCCTTAGACTTCTACTCACACTGTACTTTTTTTCCATTGGAAAGGTGTCTACCCATGAAGCCTCAGTGACCTCATCCCTGTAGATAGCCCATTAATCTGTCTCCCATCCTCACCTCCTGAAACTAATTCCACGTCATCAGTTGCCTAGTGGGCATTTCCACTTTGCTGTCCTTTTGTGACTTGCCAGCACTTTCCATTTGTGTGTCTTGTTGTCACTGTTGCTTCAGACTCACTGTGAAACCCACACCTCCTCAGCACAGCGTCTCCTCGCCTCCTTATTTCCCTTCTAGTGCTGCCACCACCGATTCTGTTAAGTTCTCTTACCTCCACTCTGGTGTCCCCCCATGCTACATGGGCCATTGTTCTTCGGTACCATCCACGGTGCTTCAGAATATCCTTCGCCATTCTGCTTCCGCTTCTATCTCCAAGTCCCATTGTTCTCCGTGACCGCCTCCCTCCCACACCCTCACACTTCAGGGCTCCACCATCCTGAACTTTCCTCACTTCCTCACCTTTCCCTTTACTATACTCGCTGGGAGACCTCCAGCTGCCTTCTGGCTATGCTCTGAGACTGTGTACGTCTCCTAGAGTTAACACAGTCAAGCCCAGTTTGGGTCACCCAGTTCAAACTCTTGTGACGCCCAAGTCCCTTCTGAGGAGGTTGTTCTGTGTCCCCAAAGAAGTCAAGTGACAAAGAATTCAAGCAGCACCTTCCAGTAGAGGACAATTCTGTCTGGCAGAAGTTCTTTTCTACCTTTTGGTCTTGAGATACCCCTTCAAGCAAAAGAGAGAAGTCTACACCCTTTTCCATAAGCCAACTTTCAGATAAAGAAAGTGCTCCTGGCACCCCTACTCCTACCCCCAAGTCTCCTTTTCACTTTATAATAGATCCACTTACTGCCTGCTTCCCTGAACATCTTCAGTTTGGCAATGAGTTTCTCCAGAGTTGACCCTTAAGCCCATCTCCTCTGCTCACACTGTTGTCTGACCCATGAGGAATCACTCCTGTGATTCCACTCCATGCCATCCCACTTCTCTGAGCCTCAGTTTCCCATTTCCCAAGAAATGAAAAGATTTCTTAATCCAGGATGGGCTCTGCGGCTCCATAAATGCCCTGAAACCGTATGCAACGGTTTGTATATCATGAGCATATGTACATTTGGGGGAAGAAGATCTACATATTTTTATCACAATGTCAAAGAAAGTCCATGAGTCACCGAGAGATTTTTAAAAACCATTAGACTAAATAAAATCTGAGCTTCCCGCCCCCTTCCCCCCAGCTCTAACATTCTAGAAGTCAAAGGTCCTAAGACATGTGACATTTCTTCTTCCCTTGAGAGGAAATCAGAGACCAGATATTACTCAGGCTGTTTTTCAGTGACAGTGAAGAGACAGAACCATACAGAAGACCCTCTTACGTACAGTACAACACCAACTGAAAGGTTAGAGTGGAAACTTTTCTGTCTTGTGAGGTAATCAGCTTCCTCTCACTGGAAATGTTCCAGCAGAAATTGAATTATCATCTCTCCGGGGTAATATATGAGGAATTTCTTTCAGCTATGTGAAGAGCAGGCTTTGAGATCTCTTCTGGGCCGAAGATTCTCTGAGAGCTGTGTTGCATGTCCTTGCTCATGCTCTTCCCTCTGCCCAAAATAACCTCTCAGTTCCTTCCCTCTTTCTCACTTGACACCCTTTCTAGGTGTTTTTTTCTTCCAGTGTAGTCACTGCCTCCCACACCCCCCACAGCTCCA